CAGTGACACTGGGAAAGCCTTCCTGTTTTAGTCCAGGGAACCTCACACGAACCCTGCCCTCTCTCAGCCACTAAATTATCTCAGTGGTCTGCACAGAGGCAGTTGCAGGAAGAAATGAATGGCACTGTAACATTATTGAGCTGCTTCTCACTTTCATTTCTGTGGGAAAAAGAAATAAGCAAGAGCCAGCAAAGACCCTGTTAAATCCACCCTCAAAGAGAGATGTGAAACCAATTAGCAGGCTGGCCCAGCACCCGTAAAGTCACTGTCTACACCATGAAATGTTATAAAACAAAACAGAACACAAAAGAAAGAGCAAGAAAAAAACCAAATCAATAAAGAACAGGCCATGCCAAACAATAAGCCTGCAGGTGCTTGCAAGGTGCAAATCCAATATGAATAGTGGCACTTTTAGAAAACCAACCATGACCGAGATGAAACTGAGCAGAACAGAAATGCAGAAGGAAGTGAGGATACATTTTCAAAATATGTCAGGATTTATTCTGTTCCTAAAAGAACCAGACAGTTAATCCACCCTGTTGGCAGGTGCATGATAGTAGGTGATTCCTTGCAACAACCTCTATAACTATTCTCATTATATTATTCTCCAGATGGGGATAGCACTAAAGGGAGCAGAGGCAGAGGATGGAGCTGGAGGCACCATTTGCTTTGCCTGCAATGTAACTCATTGTGCAAAAACAAGGGGCCACTCAAACAGGATTTCTTGAGTGGGGATGACACAAAGCAGCAGCTCCAGTGTCTCCATAGACACCAACACCTGCAGTGCATCTTTGGGAATTACAGGGGAGGGGGGAAGTGATGGCAGGCTTTGCTGCATTTGAGAAATGACTGACTCAATTTGGAAAGGATGGAGGGTGCATTTTCCAAAGAACTTGTAATTAGGAGCTCAAGGTGTTGTTGTCTTCTAAGGAATACACCCTCCTCTTCCCCCAAAATGCAGTTTTCTGCAAAAGTTTCTAAGGAAAAAAATAAAAGCAGGTTTTATGGATTAAAATATTTCATTTCTGTTTCAATCACTTCCTAGTTACGTCCCACAGAATAAGAAACTTAGGAGAGAAATTTTAAAGAAATTTTGTCTCAAATTAAGAAAATGTTTTGTGTGTGTCAATAAGTCAATTTTAACATTGCTGAAATTCCTCCACCCTCTTTTACCCAGAAAACAAAGTTGAATCATTTCCAGAAGGTTCAGCAGCACTGAGAGACACATCAACAGCTGGTGGAATATGGTTTCTTAAACATTTCTCTGGCCAGCTCTCATCATCCATAGCAGGATGAGCTGGTCACATCTGCTGACCTCTTAAAACAGTGTAGCTGCTGTGACTAATTCTGTGTCTTCCCACACTGTCAATAATTCCTACAAAGCATCACCATCCCAAAACCTATAGTTACCACCTTCCAACCTGGCAGAAACCTGGCAGTTACCGCCTTCCAACCTGGGAGAAATATAGAATAAGGCTGTTTTGTGTTCTCAAATAAGGGAAAAATACATTGCTAAACAGAAAAAGAAAAAAAAAAAATTAAAAGCCACCTTCCACACTGACCCTGCAGAACACACTTTGTGCTGCTTGTTCTCAAGTGCTGGATCTCTGGATACTGGAAAATTCATCCTTATTTATTTATTTAAATTAAAAATCCTATCCATGACCTTAGAGGTGTGTGCTTATTATCAGCTCCTATACACTTGTCACAGCCTTGGCTGGAAGGGAAGCCAGGGGAGGATTTAAAACTAATAATAATAATCCAAGAAATTTCTCCATTTCAAATGTCATTGGGTTTTGTTTTTTGGGTTTTTGGTTTTTTTTTTTGTTTATAATTAGAATATGGTTCGCCTTTCAGATTCCAAAGCGTTTGGATTAGTGGTTTTCAGCATAATGTCATTTTCCTGTCTATATGACCACAGCACAGCCTTGCTTCAAGTGTTTGGTAACAACAGAAAAAATAACCGTGGAAACCCATATGCAATCCTGCAGGATCTGAATTAATGCCACACCATTACCAGGCAGTTCAGGAGCACAAGGGCAGGACTTCTACAAGGAGTGTGCCTATTCCCCCTTATCTTTTCCAGAAGATGATTATTGGCTCAAAAAGAAAACCCACAAGGCCCCACTCAGCAGCTCACATGGTTACCTGCCTCAACAACCCATTATGGACATGTGTAAAGTGAAGCAATTTTGCCTTTAAAACAAAACAGGCAGAAAGAGAATTAGTGGACCAGATTGATTCCACTTATAGCTACATTATATTATCCTAGAGCTAAATTCCATCCATATGTGAATTGCAACCCTTCAGAGACTAAAAGTATGGGCAATTTCTGGTTTGCCATCTCTCTTTCCTCCAAAACACATTTGTGCTCATCTTGCAGAGCAAACAAGACCACTGGTATGTCCTATCCAGGTTAGAATTAGCATGGCTAATGTTGCTGGTAACCTTAACATCATAATTAAAATTATTCAAGGCACTTATTAGTCATATTATTTAGGGAGAGCTCTCAGGTCTCAGAATCTCACCTAAGAGGGTGAACACCAAAACAGGAAGAGAATGTGGTAGTGAAAAGATAACTTGGCTCAAAAGCAAAATAGCAGCTGGTCAGCCCTTTTGTAAACTGCATTTAGGCAGTTTGAATTTGCTTTTTCCAAGGGTTTGAGTGTTTTCCTACATCTCACTATTGATGGATTTTCTGCTTGTGGCTTAACAGCAGTGGTTTTGGAGTTGCTTGGGTTTTTTATGCATATATTTCAAACAAGCCTGTCAGGTAGCCTTGTGCCCTTGAATCCTCCACTGCCATATGTGCTCAATAAAAATCCAACCTTGGTTGTCTCTGCTTATCCTGAGCAGATGACTTTGGAGCACCAAGGTCTTCTCTGGCATGTTCAGAGCTGCACTGAAGGAGACACCTGGGGTGGGGCTCAGATGCTGAGCATGGTTTGGGGAGTGACAATTTATCTCCCTCAGCTCCACTGAGCAGCACTGCATGGACACCAGGTGAGAAAACGGGCAGGCTGGGCCAGCAGAAACACAAAACCAACCTGCTCCTGTGCCCCCTTCCCAGAAGCCAAGGCACAAACACCCTGCATGTAGGACAGTCCAGCTGGCCTTCGAAGAGCACCCCAAAAATCCATCTTGTTGACCCTTCCCCAGGTCTCCATGCCAAACCCATTCATACTGAAATGACAATAGCTGACAGGAATCAGTTTAGTTTGGCTAAAGAGGAGGCATCCTAAGGAAAAAAATATGGCTTTGGAGGCCCACCCAAAAATGCAAAGCCTGGACTCTGTCTGAGAGCAGAACTTGGCCTCCTGTCTCCACTCCCACAAAAAATGCTTGTAAATGTTATGCTCTTAGCGATGTATTTTTTTTTTCTTCCCTGCATTAAAAACTGAGTGAATTTAGTGCTTATAAAACCAAGAGGCTGATAGCAACTGGCTAGAACCAGATGTTAGGGAGACTGGAGCATATCAAGCAAACAGATTGTGCACATATAAGTATTCAGAAGTATGTAGCTGCATTACTTATTCCCAGTCAGATTATCAAACCAATTGATCTCTGAGTATAAAAACATGATGCCCAAACCTCAGGCCTTGCGAAGGAAGGGAAGAGGGGGAATGTCAAGATGTCTGAAGGTATCTACATCGATAGATTTAGAAAGAAGATATATTTTCCCTCCATCATTTGCAGCTCTGTCCTTCCCTGCTGCCCCAGCCAGCAGTGCACAGCAAGCCCAGCAGGGACAGATGCAATGCTTGATCACATCTCCTACCCAGCAAGGTGCTCAGCCTTTGGAAAAATGAGTGTCCCACTGTGGGGACAAGATGATTTCCCAGGACATTCAGCCCCACGTTCCCCTGATGTGGAGCCATATGGACTCCTTTAGCCAGCAGCACTCAGGCTGCACACAAATCCAAACACTTTTAGGAAAACTTGTACCAGAAACACGTGCCTGAAGTGCCAGCATTCCTTTCAATAAGGCATGGAAGGTAACTGGTGCAATCTGCCAGTAAACCCTATGGAAACACAAGCCTGTGGAGCTGGCTCCCTTAAGAGATTTGAGCTGTTAGTTTTAATGGCTTGAATAGGAGGGTTTTTTCTAACAAAAACTGGATCAGTTTTATTGACTTAGAGTGAAATGTTTCCGTTTATAGCTTGAGATTTCTGCTAAAAGATTTAAACAACCTTAAAGGCTCCTCCTCTGCTCCCACATCCCCAGCTCTGCTGGATGCATCCCCAGGTGACTTTGTTCAAACATCAAGGCCTCCAAAATCTCAGCTTTGGCCTTTCAGGCTCCCCCTGGTACCATCTCCTTCCTCACTGCACAAGTTTCCAGAGCACTTATCTATCAGCAGGCACTTGTGCTGTGCTGGTGCTAATGAAGCTCTTCCTGAGCCTTTTTCCACCACGGCCTCACTGCCAGCCAATCTCAGCTGACCAGCAACCAACAGCGTAAGAGCCAACACAGCCTCAACTCAGCCTCTTCTTTAGACAGAATTTTCCTTGGATTTCCATTTCACAGGCTTTGAGGCCAGAAGGAACCATCTCATCACTCACGATTTTGCACTCCACAGAGCCTTTACCACCTCACCAGCAGCACCACATCCACCACCCATGGGTCAGACAGGAACAGGAGGGACAGCAACACCTTCAGCCCTAGCCAACAGCGGGTGAGATCTCCCTCCTTAGCGGATCCTGCCCTGCAAACCATACTGCATCCCTAAGGACATCAACCAACTTCTTCCAGGAGACAATTCCTTCCCAGCTAGGTCCAGCAATCACTGCAGTCCATGTGGAATCTCAGTTTCTGCTCCTTCTCTATAGCAGCAGTTTTAGACCAGCAGACACCTTCCCTGAGGGCCATCCCTCCCTCAGGTGCACACCTAGGACCATCACTGTTCATCATTCTTTTCAGCCCACGACCACACAGCACAAGGACTTATGCCGCTCAATGCAACTTCACCCAAGCAAAGTTGGGCACACATAGCTCTCACCTTATTTATCTGCTTCCAAATTGTAGAAAGATTGAGATCTTTATGTTCTTTAGTCATCTGTGCAGCACAAACTGGATCACAGGTTGCCATTATTAGGTAGAGCCTGGGAAGAGAGGAGACGGGAAGTTAACAGAAACATTGATGGCTGTGGTGGCGGCTGCAATTTTAATCCAGTGACTCAAGCTTGGCAAACAGAAAGGCTGCAATGTATTAAACTGTGAAGAGTTTACAAGAGCTGAACATCTAAAATATAGCTCTGAGAAATTACTCCTTAAAGCAGGCAAGCAAGAGCATCATGAACAGAACCAGGAGAATATTGTTTTCACAGGAAACACTCCGTGGGTGTGTTATAAGCTCTGTTCTTTGGCCTGTCACCACATAATTTCTGCACTTCTTGTATTTCTCTCTTTTCTCATACTCAAGCACTGTCCTGTGATACAGCAGAAGTGCATTTACAGCTGAAATTACAAAAGTGGTCCATTATGTTTTCTAAGGTAGTAAAAAGGCTGCAGTTTGTCACAGCTGTCTGGAGCCCCAGACACCTACAACTGGCAGAGCTGTGAGCCCCCTTCTTCTGCCCTGGCCCAGGCTGAATCTCTGTATGTGAGCATGCAGATTAAAGTTATGTACAAACAGAGCTTTTAGTGTTCTTGCTAGGAAAAAAAAAGGCAACAAATCCACAAAAAAAAAAAAATAGAAAAGAAAAAAAATGGTGCATCAGTGAAGCAAGAGGTCAGAGCATTCCTAAGCACTTATTTCAGAATAGCTCTGCTTCGGCTGCTGCTTCTTGGCTTCCCACAGGGGACACACCAGCTTTCCCATCTCACAGGGCAGGGGGAGCGTGGTGAGTCAGCTCCAGGGGGCTCTTTCCAGAGGGGAAAAGCCTCAGCATGTCCAGCAGGAAAACTGCAAAAGGGTGGGAGAGGAGCAGCCAATCCTCAAGGCAGAGCCAAGAAGCAAAGCCCAGGAAGACCCAGCCCTGTGTTGTTCCAAATCAACCTTTTCCCTTGGAGGCCTCCCAAATTCACCATGTAGACACACCAGCCCCTTACCTCTTCTTCAGCTTCCCAAGGAAGGAGGAATTGAGGGACAACAGGTAGGGATAATCCTCAGGCACCACTCATGCTACTCCTAAAGAGAAACCAAGCTCCACCACCAAGAAAACCAAATCCCTTCTGCTCGTCCCAAAACTTTTATAAGCTCAGTGTTCCCAGTGAGAAAGCTCAGGCCAGGCCCTACTTCAGTTAATTATTGCTAATTGTGTTTTCCCCGTGTCAGGTGTGTTGAGGAGTGCACAACTGTGGAATATCTCCAGCAATAAGGAGGTTAACCCAGGGTGCTACTGGGTTGTTTCCATCTCACCAGAAACCATCAAGCAGAAGAGCCTGGAGGGAAGTTTGTATGGAGCAAAGGTGCCATTGATTTTTGGAAGCTCCATCTAGTTTACACTGGGGTTATAACCCTCCCCTTCAGAAATAGTTGCAGAAGATTCAGGTCATGGTTGAAGGAGGCTCCCCTCACTCAAATGTCAGAATCCATCTTTCAAAACCAGATGGAAAAAGGCTGCTCTCAGGTCACACACCCAGTGGGGTTGGGTTCAGCTGCAGGACACATGAGAGAGCAAATGACTTTCTGTAAGATCCTTTCAACCTCAGGAGCAGCCCCACTTCTGCAGGTGAGGCACCTGTGTCAGCCTCAAAAGACAGGCAGGGACTTGCATGGAGGGGAGAGAATGTGAATCCACTCTCTGCAAATGTTGGGCTCCGAGAAGGTCTGGTTTTAGGCTTGAATATCAGTGTGAGTGGTATTAAATCATCCACATCAGTCTAATTAACACCTACACTACAAGGGAAGACAAAGCAGTTTTATGTTATTAACTCAGGGTAAAGAGGCTGTATCGGAGCCTGGTAGGCAAAGCTAAAGGTGGCACTGCTGTGGGCACAAAAGAGTTTTCACTTATTCTAAGCTGCCTCAGCTCCCTTAACAAAACACATTTTTTCCCCCTGTGGAAAGAAATGAGGGTCTCCTCTAATTCCAATAACTCAGTTGCTGGGCATGGTGCCTCTGATCTCACCATAGCTGAGAGGAAAAATAAACAATGAGCAAGCCCTGCAGAGCAGAGGGGGCTCCTCTCTCTGTTAGGCCTGCACGAGCCTCAAGATGGAAGCCTACTCTCATTTGAGGCCTTTGGGTGCTTGTATAATATAAATATTTACTAATAACACAGAGAGAGTGAGAGCAGGAGAATAGTCATTTTTCTCAGTGGCTTAGGGTTAAGTAGAGGGCAATGGCATCTTAAATCCAGATGTTCTCCTTTTGGGATTTGCCCACGAGGCATATTCTCATGAGACTTCCCTGGCATTTTGATTTGGATAGTAGCAAGCACTTTTAGCCCAATGATATCATGAGCAGATGACTCAAGATGCTCAAGGATTTTCTTTGTAAATTCCAGCAGTTTATTTTATGACTAATGCACGGCAGAAACTTCTTCAGATTTCATCTTCCCATCCTTCTGAGTTTCTATTTTCAGTTGGTTTTAAAGGATTCTGAACTTGGTCTGCTAGCAGAAGATTTATTTAAATTTATATAAATACAAACATTGTGTGCACACGAGGGTGTGTGGGAGCTGTTCCCAAGGTGCTGGTGAAATGACACATCCTGATGGAGGCAGAGCCAATGGAGGTGTTGGGGGCCACCCCTTTGGGAGAGAGGGATAAAATAAACATGGGAACATCTTTCCCATTGCAATTGCAGTAGGGCACAATATTTAATGCCATTTTACCATCTATGCTTGAAAAAAAATGACTCAAAAGTCACAGTCCTTGCACTTTTGGCCAAAACGGCAGCAGTTTCCAGATCCTTTCTGTAAAAGGCCCCGAATGTGGCAGAGGAGGGTGGAAAAGATGCCCACGACCCACCAGCTGTGGGGGCAGCAGTGGGGAGGGTGTTTAAACACCAGGCAAACACTGGACACCAGCAGCAGAGTGAAAAAACACAGAAAATTCATTGGAGGTGAAGCTGGGCTGCCTTGGCCAAGGCAGTTGCACAACAGCATCAATTCAAGGCTTGCACAGGGGTGATTTTTCTCTCCGTCCAATTCACCAAGGACTTGCACGCTACTTTGGTGGATTTTCTGCACAATTACAGATTATTGCCATGGCAACAGATGCATCACATGACAACTTTGTTACCTCAGAGACAAGAAACAGCTGCTTAAAGAAACAGGCGTCCACCAGGAATGGGGATATTTATTTTCTTTTCTTTTTTTTTTTTTTTCGTTGGCTTCATAGTGTTTTAGGAGTCCTCTCTGGTTTTCTCATGGATGCAACTTCCATTGTTTGGATAGTTAAAAATGTTTCAGTGCATCAACTGAAAGTTTTTTTTCTCCCACATCATATTTTTGCCTCTTACTAGAAATGCAGTGGGTATCTGGAGAAAAAAAAATAAAGTTCCTGTAATTTTGGGAGAAAAAAATGGCTTTTTTATTCCTTCATAAGCATCTCTCTCTAATGCTGCCATTTTGTTTTTATTAAGTTAAAGACCGTTGAAGCATTGCTAATAATATTATTTGAGAGAAATCCCAGATCCCTTGAAGTTAATGCTACTTTGCTTTTGGTTTGAGGGAGGCCAGAAGTTCTCTCTCAGGCCATATTCCCATATTCTTCAGAGATTCAAGACCCTCTCTGCCCCAGGTACCTCCAGAGCACCAGACACATGTCAGAGAGTTTAACTGGACAGGGAAACCCAGGAGAAGCTAAATCTTGTGTCATTCAAAATTTACTCCTTACATTTATGAAAAAGAAAAGTTCAGAGACATCATTTACTGCTGCCTCAATTTTTAGGCAATTTTAAATTAAGAGGCCTGTTTTAAAAAGCTTCACCAAGTAAGCCAGTGTCAGTTTGGATTTTTTATTCCAGTTGCCAATTTATTCTAATTTTTCATGCATAAGGAATAACGAAACCTTGATTTTTTTTTTCTCTGTTCATCCTGGGGAGCCCAGTGGGGCTCATTCACTGACTGCACCAGACGTGGATGGCACAAATCCCTGTCCCCAGCCCAGGGCTCAGCCCTGGCCCCCTGGCAGCATCTCCAGCCCCCATCCCGAGCATTCCAGCCTTCCTCATTCCAGCCTTCACCAGAGACCTGCAGCTGCCTCAAAGTCACCCCATTCCCCAGCCCCCAGTGGTGTTAATTAAGGACCTGCCGGAGCTCAGACAGCCAGACCACTTCAGCCCACAGTGAATGTCTGATTAATTAAAGGCTTATAATTAACCTTCATGGCTGGAATTTCCCAAAGACCTTCATGGGCTGAGGTACACAAATCCCATCAACCTCAACGGGAGGCTGGAATCAAATTGGTTTTGTCCCTTGCTGGGGATCCCCCTGCACACCAGCAGAGTGAAACCTTTCCCTTTCCCAGGTTTGGCTGTGTTTTCTCAGTTTGGATGTGTTTTCCCAATTTGAATGTGTTTTCCCAGTTTGGATGTGTTTTTCCAGCCTTTCAGAGCTGCTCAGAGAGAGCTGGAAAATGAATCCCATGCAGAAAACCCAGCTGTGCCCCTCTGTGCCACCACCAGCCCTGCTCACACCACGGGTCTGCACGACCAGAGCACGGAGCCAGCGCCAAGCTCTGCATCCAATGGAGCTTCTCCAGATTTATCCCACAAGGGAGATCAAGAGTCTCCAAACAGCCCCAGAAGTAAGAACTGAGGAAGAAAAACACATCAGACATTAGAGAAATCCTGACATTATTCTTTAACTGTTTTGTTTTAAATTTTCTTTCAGGAGTCACATTTTTTTCCAAAAAAATTTTAACTGGGAAGTCACCTCTGCACAGGACATTTTTGTTAATGAAGGCCACTGCCTTAATGAGGTTTTTTTTAGTTAAATATTTCTGGTAAATAAAATTCTGTTGTACGGCTTAAATTAGCACTGCAATTTTTTGCTATAGTTGTTTTTATTTGACCACATGGAGCTCAGTGACTTGTAACCCAGTCCCTCAGCCTATTTTTAAATTTCATGTGGACCTTTTTCAGTCATTTGGTAGCTTTTTTTAGAAGCATGAGAATGGAAGGACCAAACAATGTTGCTTTATCATTGAGAGATTTTGTTTCACAGGATCACAACTGAAATGAATTTGTCCAGCTTTCAGCCCAGGCTCTGGGGAAGAAGAAATCACAATTTTTTAATAAAAAGACTCCCAGTCTTGTAATTTTGGTTTCATGCTAACCCTCTATGGAAGATGTTACACAGTTATTCTATGATCCAAATCTTGGTCCAAGTGATCCAGAGACAGCAGACAAAACTGGACAGCCCAGTTGTTGCAGGCTGTTCACACCCTGGTGGACACAGGACTTCAGGGTTTTGCCCTGGCCTCCTTCATTCCCTGATTTCTCCCTCTCCTCTCGCCTAGTTGTGGTAGTGCTACTGATAAACCAAGAACTGGAAACACTCAGGTGAGGCAGGAGTGATGAAAAACATCAAAACAGCACAGGTATCCCTCTGACATCTGCACTCCTGATCCTAGAGATCAAGCTGTATTCATCTGGCTTTGGAAAACTCCACAAGATCTCACCTAGGTGCCCCTTTGGGTATTCTCTTGATCATCCCACCCCCACTTACCTGTTAAGCCCAACAAACATTTTTGCTCCCACTTGGAGACAAAGGAAGAGGGGTGTAGTGAAGGGAAAAAGAGATGCTCTTAGTCCTCCAGCAAAGTAAAAGCAGAAAATCATCCGATACAAACACCCCAAACTTAAACAGGGCATTAGGCAGAATTAACAGACCAGACCTCCAAGCCATCAGAAATTCCCAGCTGAATAAAAGATTGATTTCAAAGACTCAAAGATACCTCAAGGCCAGCATTTCCAAAGAAGATGGGAACTGATTGGAGCTGAAGCATTCCTCTTATTCAGTGCATTTGAGTGAGCGCTTTAAGTCTCCAAAGATTGAACTATAAAGAGAAATTAGTTTATTAATAATTCACAGGCTCCAAGAAGAAAAAAAGTCAAAAGCATATGCTCATGAACAAAGCTGATTTTATTTTCCCTGTTTAGAATTGAGCAATATGTAAAAAAAGGAGGGTGTTGAGCTCAAAAATTTAATTCAGGACTTTTTCTCTTCCTTCCCTTTAACCCAAGCAAGGATATATTCCAACTTCATCACGAGCACTGAAAGTTCTTCAAATCCCAAATGGTTTATGTGAAACATTAAAAGCACACTATCATCTTCAGCTCTTTAATAGTTTAGGACGTTTTCATGGCATAGTTATTATCCAATAGTTCCTAATTGCAGCTTGTGCATTTCAGGACAACACACTCATGGACTGGAATAACAGAGATTTTAGACTCCCATCCAGAATCATGGCAAAGCATATCCTTACTGTAGGGATCTCAAGGAGTCTGGCACTTCCCTGTCCCACTTTGCCAAGTTATGAAGTCTGTAACATTCATATGCTTAAAGTCAATCTTGTTACTCCTGATTCTGTGCTTTTTCCTGGTAGTTTTGGTAATTGTTTGATTGTAGGACACTAGGTAAACGCAAGAATTGAATAATTCAATTATTTAGATTCACTAAAAGACAGACAATAAGGGAGTTGTGAATTTTAGGAAAAATGCTTTCCATTGCTCAATGGAGAAATTACAATAAGAGCAGGGTGGACATCACAACTTTTGCCACACTTATTGGAATATTGGATCTTTTATAAGTGAATATTGGTTATTCCTATAAAAGTCCTTGTTTCCCTCTACAGGAGAGCTAAATATTGAATATTTTATCCCAAAAAGGGCTGCACAATTAGATATTCCAGGGATTTTTTTCCTCCTAATCTCAGAAAAAAGTCTCATACCATGACCCAACCTCAGCAAGGAAAATACAGATTATGAGTTCAAATTACATTACTAATGCAATGTGTCAGTCCCGTTTGTTTCTTGGTTTCCATTCTATTGAATCACAGTATTACTGCTTTTGGAAGGAATCTGATGATAAAGAAAGCCACCTCCCAGCAACGGAGGGGAATGATAAAAGAAGAGGCCAGCCATCATCATCCTAGAGGAAATAAGGAACACTGGAGCCCTGGAGCAGCTGTGATTCCCACGGGACTCTGCTCTGACTCAGAACCCAGGCTGCAGCTGATGCTCATCCCCCTGGATCCCACTCACAGCCAACAAACTGTTGCTCAGAATATAATACTTTTAGCCATGTGAATTTTTTCCCCCAAAGATAATTATTTATTTCACCTCTGAGTGAACCAGAGTGGAACGCGTTCCAGAGCAGCACTAGAAGAATGTGAAAAGCTCAGATAAATTCTTTGTGAGGTGATTTGCCTTTTTCCCCTTCTCTTTGTGGGAAATGTGTGGCTGGGAGACAGAGATCGCTGTCCTGACAGCAGGTTCCTCACAAGACACATAGTTCAGGGTGCACAAAGAGCAAAGCAAAGCAGGTTTAGCTGCTCTTGGCTGCTCAGAATTGTTTCCTAATACTCTGCATGGCTCGAGCAAAGGATTAGGCTGTTATTGCTGTGATAGGTGAACTGCAAGAGATGGAGGTTCAAATTCTAGAGTTACTATTTCATCCTCTCCCAGGCCAATTTCCTCTTGGCTCCAGCTGGAGTCCTTGAAATCCAGGGAAGTTTTGCCTGACTATAGAGTGAGTAATGATTCCAGGAATCAACATTTGGAGATAACACCAAATTGAGTATCTTTGCTAAATTAACTTTCCTCCTAAGGTCATCTCTGTAACACTCGAGCGCACAATGCGTTATTTTTGAAACGAGCCGGTCTCTATCTGTTTATCATCAGACCAATACACAAATTCCTGATCATTTCTCCACCAGGCACACATAATTTGAGGCCATTAGGCAGTGCTTATCCATACCTCCACCGGGCAGATGTGTTCCCTGGGAGCGCTTGTCCAGGGTCTGGCAATAATATCGCAGCATGGGCAGGAAAATCAATCCCAACGAGTTTCAGAGGGACCCTTCCAAAGCTCCCCAGCATGTGACAGAGGGCTGCTAATGAGAGGGAGAGATCACATTCATTGCATGAGTGACAGGTGAAAGGGAAGATTAACGCTAGCATACACCTGCTCTTTGGTGCCCCAATTAAGACCTCCTACTGTCAGCAGTAACATAAGATGCAAATCAGCCCATGCCCTTCCCCCTCCTCCTGGAAGGCTGTGGCAGGATTTGGAGTAAAGTACAGTGAGAAAAGAAATGTAATATCTTGAATGCTTTCCTTGCTCTGCAAACCTTTTGCTTGCCTCCTGATTCTGTCCTTTTCCTGCCTTTCCCTTGTCACCACTCCCCTGATTCTTCTCACCTCGAGAGGGGTGATGACCTGTTTCAGCAAGGGATCCCTTCCCTGGGGACAGTTCCAGGCACAGATTGGAAAACCCGTGATTTGAATTGGCAATACTTACCCCTGCTTTAAATTTGTTTGAACTAACCTTGCTTGAGCCACTGGAGATAGAGGAAGTGGGTGAAAATATCATTGAAGGAGATATGTGGAAGGGAGAAGGAGGGGGTTGCTCATCAGCTTATCATGGACTGGGTCTAAGGAATTGCTTTTGAGGCAATATTTTAATGCAGCATTGGCAGCCCATGCTGGAATATTGCAAATCCATGAGTAGCTCTTGTGAGTGCTTTTCCAATATGTCCATACTATCCCATTTTGTCTCCTCCTACTGTCCAATATTAATCAAATATTGCTTATCTGATGGAATTCCAGCTGCCAAGGTATTGTAGACTTCTCAAAAGCAATTGTCTTTTAACTTTCTTTTAGGTCTTGCCTAGGGGACCAGCCCAGAACGTGCAAATCCATTCCAAAGGGAGAAAAAAATTTGAACAAATTGACATCCTTCTCTCCTTAAAAAAATCACAGGAGGTTAAAAAATTGTTTTTTTAAAAAATAGGTTAACAATAATTCAAACTGGCACTAGCATTTTGGGTAGGTTTTGGAGAGCATCCCTCCAGGACCCCTGCCTCTGCTTCTCCCACCCAGCCCAATGGGCAGAGGTGACCACGCTGTGTGGCAGGCAGACAGCCAGGGCAATTGGCCTTTCCTTCCTCCTCCCAGCTCTGCTGGCTGTTGGAAAACATGCATCAATTTGTTTTTCTCCCTTCAGGCAGAAAATAAAATTGGCAAAAATCTTCCCAGCAGGAAGCCAGGAAGCCCTGTTTAAATTTTCCCAAGGGGAGGGGGCAACTCAGCAAAGTCAGTATTTTCCTGCAAAAAATTTCAATTTGCGTAAAGACAACATTTTATTAGAACAATTTATTGATAGAAAACATCTAGAAATCCCATTCCAGAGCTTTATTGGCAGAGAAATGAACTCCTGCATTTCACAACCTCAGATTCTTTTCTCCTTCAGCAAACTGTCAGCTTTCTACCATTCAATTAAAAACACCCCCAGCCCTTCAGTTTGTTGCACTTTCTATCTGGGGTGACTTAGCCCAAATCTGAAACAATTACACACACTCAAAGTCTTTAGAGCTCTCGAAACACTGATGCATAGGAAGGGAATAGAATTCTTGGGACACTCTCTAGTTCATTTATCTCGTCTGGTAATCTTTTGACAATACCCATAGACAGGAGTTGAGTGGAAAGCAACAGCTCTACAGCTCAGTTTCTCAAATTCCTACTGATACTGAAATTAAAGCCATGAAATCCCTTCTCCCAGTGGTGTTGTGAGAATAAATTCTTCAGTGGCACTAAAAGGCCCTCAGATATTAATGCTGAGTGCTTGCAAGAGTACACAGAAAGATGGATGGTGTTTGTCCTCAGCCCCCAGAAACCATTAAGTTCCATTGCTCTTTAAACCTCTCTGATGCACCAGCTCTGCTCCTCAAACCTCTGTGCATCCACTTGTCCTCTCTGCATGCACATTCAGTAGGGTTGGAATAGTCACATTTAAGGAAAGCGTCAAAGAGATGTTTTGGGGGAAATCTACCAGAAAGTGAGGACACAACACAAACCTCCTTCAGCTGCTTTATCCCAGCATCTCCACTCCAGAATTATGGACTCCTGTGAAGAGTGGAAGTGTGCAGGTGGAAAGAGGAGAGTGTATGACACCTCTCTTGAGATGAGATTGGGATGCACAGGAAATTTCTGACTAGCTTTTATGCAGAGACGTGGGGGGAAAAAATTGCATTTATGTATTAAAGGATGTTAATATGCTCAGAGTAATTTTCCATAGATTTTATTGATTGATTTCAGGCTTTGAGGGTTTAACTGCCATGTCAGTTTGCCCACTTTTAATTTAGCATGTGGATGACTTATAACAACAAGCTGGTTTTATCACTTGAAACCCTTCCTAATTAATGATAGACAAAAGAGGGACAGAGAAAACACTCTGGGTGAACATATTATTTTCTCTTCTCTTTCATCCTGGAAAAGCTCCTAAAACTTGTGAGCTTGAGTAAATTATTTGGAAGACTGTTAAATACACAGGCACAGCAGCAGCAACAACCGTGCAAAGTTAATAAATCTCACAGAACTGAAATTATTGCAATAAGGATTATTCCAGATTTAGAACAAGAAGGATAAATATCACTATGAAAGGTCTTCATCAGCGTCTTCAGCCTCATCATTTCCTGTGGCTGTGATTCAGTTATTAAACTGTACACAGGCTAGGGAAGAAGTCAAACTGCTACAGAATGAAGAAAAAAAAAGAGGGATTAAACCTGGCTGGGATCTAACAGGGATACAACTGTTCTGCCACTGGCTTAGCTCACAGTGCTGGGCAATGCATTGGACACCTCCCTGTTTCATTTGTCCATCTGTAAACTGTTAAAACAATTCTCACCCCAGCATCCAGGAGAAATCAATCATCAGGACTGAGCTGAACCAAATAGCCATTAAGTTCTTGGATGGAAGACATAATAGGAACAGAAATATTTTCACTTGAAGTGTTATACTGCCCTCAGTTAGGCTCTGCTGGTGGTGACGTTGAGCTGAGCACATTCTCCTTGCTTTCAGGACAGGCTGTGATTTTCAAAAGCTTCTATAGCAACAACATTTGCTTTATCTCGAGCCCCTTCTGGGGTTGCATAGAGTAACTGGCACTGTGAAACCCCCAAGTCTTAATCCAGAGAAACAGCTCTGAGCACTCTGCAAACAGAAATCCAACATCTGTATGGAACCTCTCACCTTAGAGACCCTTGCCATGAACTGCCCCTGTCCTGCCCCTTATTGCACACATCAGCACCATTGTCAGCACTTTCCATCCTCTAAAGCAGTCAGGACAACTCCTCACAGTGTGCTTTGAGGCTCTTGGAAAGAAGAACAGGCTTACATTGTCCCCAGGCTTGACCTCTGGTTTTTCTGGACACTTTGAACCTTACCCCTGAAACCACTTGGACCTGGGTTTTCCTTTGGTTTTCCAAGTAACAGAAGCAGCTCTTGTGCAACCCCATAAGTCCAGCAGCCAGGGCTTTGATAAAGATCCTGAAGTAGTGCAAAGAGCAAGTTCATTCTAAAAGCAAGCAACACCACCACCAAACTTGCTAGGAAAAAAAAAAAAAAAAAAAAAAAAAAAAAAAAAAAAAAAAAAAAAAAAAAGAAGAAGAAGAAGAAAAAAAAAAATCACCAAATTTGTTCAATATGGAGACAGACATGGAACAGAGCCTGTCCAGAGCACCTCTTGGGGGCACATTTCTTCAGCAACTCCACTGCATTCTCATTCTTCTAGTGACTGCCCAAAGAGCCATGGTGTGGCAGCCAGCAAATACAGAGACTGCTTAGAAGATATTTTTTTCCACAGATAAAAAGATTTCTGAAATTCTAGAAATGTTCTTTCCTTCTTTTTATTTTGTTTTGTTTTATTACAAGCTTCCACACTATGCTGAAATATTCCAGGCTTTATTTTCAATAAATAGTACAGAAAAAGTAGCTTCAGATGCAGCTGGAATCTGAGCTGAGAGCTACAGTCCTGATGGCCCTGCCCAACTTTCCTTCAGCGCTGTCAAAGATCTAGAGGTTAAAAAGAGAGGGAAATGAAAATCCTGATAGAAGTTACCCCACTGCCCCTTCTTCTCCTGGCTCCCAGTGCAATGTGTTCCCAAGACATCAAACTGAAACTCCACATCTGCCTGTCCTAAAGGGTGTTTTCCTTTCCTGTGCACTTTCAGCTGCACAATTTGCATTAATACAACTTGGGGATCATTGTGTGACCCAGCCACAAAGTAAGACAGAACATAGGTGATGCTGCCCAGGGTCTGGCCAGACATTTTTGTCCAGAAATTTCCTTCTAGACCCTCAGGTTTGGCCATTTTTCCATGGTGGCCTTGGCCCAGGGAAGTGACAGCATGTCATTTATCCCTGAGCTCAGTGGCCTCCCCAGCTCTGCACGTGCCAAAATTTCTTGTGGAGCTCCCATTGGTTCTGATGACGCTTTCAATTTAGCAAATGTTTATGTGACTCTTGGTTGGAAAAGGATGGAAAAAGAGTCCAGGCACATCACTCTAAATAGATCTGTGGGTAACACTTTAGCTACACATTGAACTTAGATTTAGTAGCATCGTTATTGCATGTAATGTTTATTTTATTAGGTTTATTTTATTAGTGTGCCCACAGCAGAATGTAAGCCTTGTCTTTGTCAACTCTAAAGGCACCCCACAAGAGGCTCTGAGTAGAAAAATATGGTGCAGTTCATTTTTTCCTTTGGAAAAGCCAAGCAGATGCTGATGAGTGGATAGTCACAATAAGTGTGTGTTTTGAATGCACTATTAAGCTCTGAAACTCAGCTGAGTTAACTTGGTGGGAAGTTGGGTTTAATTTGATCCTGTCTCTGAGTGTTCATAAAATGATGCAATTCAGCTTTTACCAGATGAGTGGTATCATCAAAATATATTATTTAAATCCCACCCTCTTAGCCATGTGGCCAAATTGGAAGAAGTGTCACTTAAGTATCTCCTTCCAGGCCAGGAAAAGAT